TTGATAACTTCGGTACTACCCACTTCTGTCCACCATTTGTAATTCTGTATAAGCGGTTATCTTGTAGGTAGGTAATAATTCCTACGGATTCCTTTGGTTTCACTATCATCTGACGCTAGCGGTTTTTGTGAAAGGGGCCTCTATTAGGTAGCGACAATGTTCATCTTAGAGTTGTGCAGACAATACCCAATCCTCGTCGGATACATTAACATTCATTATAGCTCTGTTTCTGCAGAAATCACAAACCAGTCAGAGTGGATTAAATTGGTCGAAACTAGTTTTCTGACTGTTTTCAACTAATGAAATTGGCTCTGACTGGTTTGTGATTTCTGCAGAAACAAAGCATTCACATGCCACTTTGGTTTCAGCTTCCCTCTTGCATATTGCCAGTATGGATCTCTCTACAAGCATTCCATTTAAAGGCAAAAACGGAGTTTTTCTTGGTAAGTGAAGAAATTGGTCTGGCGAAGAAGGCGAATCCGTTTATAAATTTTCTGAAATAACTAGCTAGTCCCAAAAATCTTCTAACATCATGAACGTTATTGGGTATTGGAAATTTAGTCACGGCTTCAATTTTATCCACACCAGGACGTATACCGATATTAGATACTTCATGTCCTAAATATTCTATGTTCTCTTGAAGGGAATAGCACTTATTTAACCTAAGTGTAAAACCGGCTTCTCTAGAGATATTTAGTATCTGTTTCAGCTTTCTAAATCTATCTGGTAATGATGCTACGTCGTCCAAATATGCCATAGCTATTTCGAATCGCAAAGAGCCCAAGCCTTGGTTTATTGTTCTCTGAAAAACCGCAGGAGCATTTACAAGTCCAAATGGCATTCGCAGAAAATCGTAGTGTCCATCTGGTGTTACAAACGCAGTCCTCGGAATTGATTCTTCATTCAATGGGATCTGATGGTGTCCAGATCCTAGGTCTAAGGTCGTAAAATAGATGTGACCTTTGAAAGAGTCCAGGTAGGTCATCGATCCTTGGCAATGGGTATTCATATCAGCGTTATACGATTTAAGGATCTATAATCTATGCACATGCGCGGCTTACCATTCTTCTTTTTCACCAGTAGGACGGGACTTGCATAAGGTGAAGATGAGTCATGGATAATATCATTTTTCATGAGGTCGTGAAGTATTCCTCTATTTCCTCTTACGACTTCCCTCTCAGAAAATGCAATGCGATAAGGGCGATATGTAATAGGAATATCATCAGTTAGCGATTTCTGTGGATTTTGTTTTTCCAATCTCGTCTACGTTTGTGGCAAAACGATCACGGTATTCATTAAGATGGTCTAATAACTGTCTAAAATCGGTACTATTGAGCTTGGGATTGGTTTGGTTTCCAATATCTTCAGTCGTAAATTTTCTGAATTTCGTAACTTCAGTTGTTATTGTAGGAAAAAAGATATCAATTTCTTCGTAACAGTGTAGCCCCTAACTACTACCCTACCCTTTTCGTAACATAAGTCCTGATCTGAAGAATTGAATATTGGAATACAGGGTGTCCCAGTCGAGAGTGATCCATTTTAAATGGTTACAACTTTTAAAACAGGTGTGCTAGCTACCTGCAGTTTGCGCCATTCGATTTCTCTTGGCCTACAGTTTTTTTTAGTAGGTTGCAATTTTTTTTGAAACTTATACAGGGCGAATAAAAAAAATCCGTTTTTCAACATCGAAATTCTCCACTAATTTTAATGGAACACCCTATGTATCACAACCTCAAAAAAATAGATATATGTTCAAGATATCCCTATACTAATATACCCTATACTAAAACTTGAAGTTTTAGCCGTAAAAAATCAAAATCGAAATCTTCGAATTTTTGCAAAAGCACGCAACTTCATGTTGTAGAATGAAGGTACCTGATATCACTATGGCAAACAATTTTGTAACTGTCTAAACTTTGTCCAATGAACCAACGGAGTATGACAGAGTCAAAAGAGCGGCCAGGCTCACACTGAATACTGATCTATGCCATTTATTTATTTCAAAATCTTACAAAACATCACTCTACAGTGAGAAGCGGGCTGATAAATGATCAATAGTAACGAACCTTTTTGAAAGGTTTGTTGTTTTTCACTCCGTGGGTTGGTTGGACAGAGTATAGTTAGATATCAATTAAGAAGTTTTTCTGGAACTTGTTAATTAGAGATAACCCAACAGTAACAGTTTGGTGTGCGACCTCTGTTGAGGAAAAATACAGACCATTTTCAATAATGAACCAACGATAATAGAAACTGTATACACTGATATGTTCTTTTTTCCACAGTTAGGACAGAAGCGTATCTTGGATGATATCTATTTTCAGCGGGATGGTTCTCCCACCTCATTATTCTTTAATAGTAAGGGAATCACTAGATATGACATTTGGGGAAAGACGGATAAGGAGAGCTGGTTCTATAGGAATATAGGATGGACACCTTACTCTCCGGACTTGAGAGTTCCAGACTTCTTTCTCTGGGGCTATGTCAAGGAATGATGCTGTTATCCTTTGCTCAAATAGCCTAGGAGATCTTAAACGGTACATTTGTAATGTCTTTGTAGCGATTCCCCAGGAAATGTTACACAATTCATTCAACCATTTACTGATCCATAAATGCCTGGAACAGAAAGGCTAACATATACATATACAGCATTTTGTATAGTTTTATGCAGTTTTTATTAACTTTTCATTAGGTAAACATAAGTTCCAAGCTTCGTAAATATACGTTTGCAAAAATACCAATATTTTGATATTGATTTTTTACTTCAAGTTTTAGGGACGATGTCTATTCGTACATGGATACCTTGAACCTGTATCTTTTTTTTTGAAGTTGTGATATACAAGGTGTTCCATTAAAAATAGTCAATGTTGAAAGACGGATTTTTATATATTCGCCTTGTATAAGTTTCAAAAAAAATTGCAGCCTACTAAAAAAAACTTTAGGCCAAGAGAAATCGAATGGCGCAAACCGCAGGTAGCTAGCGCACCAGGTTTAAAAGTTATAAGCATTTAAAATGGGTCACTCTCGGCTGGGACACCCTGCATAATGCAAGATGTTTCCGAAGTTGGTACCCTAACATCAAGCGATTCCATGTATTTAAAAAAAAAAATCCTTTAAATATGTGTCCGGAAATTGGAAATGCCTCCTGTCCTACAAAGCATTATTTGAATTTTAGAAAAAAAAAAATCTATTTACATCACAAAAAAATACGTCGGTTTTATTGAAACTATTTTCATGAGCTTTGTTCCAAATTAGCAGGGGTACATTTTACCGTAAGTACTGCCCATAAGTAAAATTTATCCGTAGAATCAGAAATTCGAAAAGAGAAGAGTTCTCTCGTCTCCTATCGAGGGTATCTCGTCGGGACGAGAGACTCATTTTCTCTCGACCCTTCGAGACAAGACGAGTGAGAGTCTCGTCTCGTCTCGTCTCGTGGCATCACTTATCACTTTGCCAGTATGTAACCATGGAGAAAACTGCTTTATTTTGAGACCTTCTGTACTACGTATTTGTATAACTTGACTATTTTCTCTCATTCTTCATAAAATTTGAAGGGTGTTATACCTTCCAACACATTGTTTGTCATCGAAACTATGTAACGCAATACTTTGGCAAAAAAACATTTCCATTAAAGATACCTCAACTTAAGGCTGCGTTAATGGCCGCCATGTTTAAATTTAGTTTTCGAAAATGACGACTGCGTCACTCTACATATAGGGTTCAATATTTTATTATTTGTCCAAAACAAAATCTGTTTGTCGGTGAAACACTTAGTGACAGAGAAAGACAAATATACAACTATGATGCTCCCAATGTAGCTTTTTTGCCGTGGCGCCATCTACTTGAAATTGTTTGAACTGTTTTCACCTTCAAAATTCGTTTTAAGGTCATCTCAAAAAATCCGCAATAATTTCCAAAATCCTTTGACATAAACATTATTTGATATATTATCTACAATCTCTACAATTAGCTTTCTTTAGTTTTTCGTGGTTATCAATAAAATATGCTTTTCACGGATCCAAGCTTGATAAACATGCAAATATGCAACCCCCAACACATTTAGCTGTTTTGGTGGTTGCGAACATGATTTGTGAATTAAAAAAAAAAGGCTGAATATCGAAAAACCAAAATAAGGAATTGTAGATAATCGATCAAATAATGTTTATGCCAAATTTGAGCCAATTCTGATGTGCCGTTTTTTTAAAGACCTTAAAACAAGTTTCCAAAAATCAACCAATTACAGTTTAAACATGGCGGCCATTAACGCGGCCTTAAGATAAATCCATGGTTGGGCAAAGGTAAAACTAAGTTTCACTATTACCATACCTATTTTCTAGCTTCGTCAATCTGATAAAACAACAATGTATTGAAACATACTTCTGTTAGAATAAAATATGGTAAAAATTGGTTTTACTATTTCCCAACCCTGGATGTCAATTTTCATTGTTTCAAATAAATTTTCTTCCGGAGGAAGCATTTCAAACAACCAAAAACTCGAGTGTTATGGCCAAATTTTATAAGCTTCCTGACTACATAAAATGCATCGGTTCATCCTCAAAGCAGTTTATTTCAATACGAAAAACCCGCTTTTCTAATCCAGATTTTTATAAAACCGAAATGCATTTTTCGAGTCTTCTTTGATTATTTACGTTGTCATGCTACGATCATATTTTTCATAAACGGAGTGAATTTCACGAAAGTCAAGAATAAAAATGTAATTTCTTTGTCAATTTTTCCACTTTAAGAAATTCTCTAAATTTCAGGGGGCTTATAATTCGTTTATAAGGTTTATATTGCCTTTGGGGGCACCGTTCGATTTTATCACAAAGGAATTTAGGAGAGCGAAATATAACCGTTGAACAATTGATATGTTCCAACATGAAAACTATTTAGAGAATAAAATATATAAATCAATAACAAAAGGTTTAATTTGAACCATGCCTTTAAAAAAAATACTCTAACAAACAATTATTTACACATTTCTACAATTTTTTTGAAATAAATTAGGCAGTCCTTGCAGCAGCAGCTCTATGCAAAGCCAAAAATTCTTCTCTAGCAGCTAATACTTCAGGAGTATATTCTGGAACCTGGGGTGCAGTTACTGCTAGTGCGAAAGTTTGTGAGCTTCCATCACCTGGTACAATCAATCCACCACGGGCAGCATTAATTACAACAGTGTCATCCACAAATTGTGATACAGAAACAGGTGCATATTGTGATACAGAAACGGGTGCTACTGGAACCGCAGCATTACCTTCTAGAATTTTGAATCCATCGCGACCTGCGGCGTATTTGACGGTGCGTCTTGCTCCACTGGCATCAATAATGGTGTAGTCACCCAAGATGGAGCCATCAGCAAACCTTTCCTCGTTTCGCACAGAATCTTTCAGGTGGACGGTGTATTTGTAAGTACCTGCGCTACTTTGCATTACAGAAACACGACCGTCGTTGTCACCCAAAAAGCCTTGAGGTCGAGCCAAAGTTGTTGAGATAATAGCAGCAAATATCTAAGAGGAAGGAAATATTTTAAGAACCAAGATATTTCTTGAAATGAAGTTATGAAACGTTTAGGTAATCTATACTCCAAAGTAAAGTTAACAAAATTATTTTAAAAAAACACTAGTAAAAAGTTACTACTTACCAAAAGTGAGTTCATTGTTTTTGAAATATAGTTGTTTCTCAATAAAATTTAATACCAAATGATACTTTGCAAACAATGAAAGTTAGCTTTTATAGGCACTAATTTATGGAAAATGTCAAGTGTGAGGAAAACCCAGCCCATTAAGGGAGAGAATTTCAGTCACTCAACAGATAATTACTATTAATGTTGTTTGCGTCATTAATGATTGTGCAAAGCGTTGATGTTAATGATTCTAGCTGTTGGATAGTCTAACACCTTACAACCGAATTAAATGCGTAATTAGAGGCCACATTTATGAGGTTTCCGGCTTGGCTGCCATTATTCAAGTTTACATGCATATCTCAAACCTGCGTACGATAAATAGGATTCTCAAAGATAAAAAAGCAGTTCCGAATTCTTGTAGACGTTATTATATTTTAATTGATTTTAAAAATAACTTTCTAATAAGTATAAAAACACAACAAAAATGTATTGAGAGCATAGTATAGTTTTATCACCTCTTCAGTAATATACCTATTTGTACAAGATTTACCACCATGAACAAATTTTTGGTAAGTACAAGTCAAATTACCTGTTTGGACTTTCCATTTCAAGACACTTCCAGACCTAGTCTATCACACCCAAATAATTTTTCTCGACAAAGGCTTCAATTATGAGACTGTCTAATACTATTTATGGTTTTTGGAAAAACTTCTTTCCCTTTCATTTTAAAAGACTTGTATCTATAAATTGATTTTTTTCTAGGTTTTTGCTGTTCTTCTTGGCACCGCCTTTGCTCGTCCTCAAGACCTTCTAGGTGATAATGAAGGGCGTGTATCTGTAGTCCAAAACTCCTTAGGACCCTATAAATACACCGTTCAAACGAGGGATGGACTTATAAACGAAGAGAGGTTGGCTGATGGTACCATAATTGGCGACTACACCCTCCCAGATCCCGTTTCAGGAACTAGAACTATCAAATATACAGCCGGACTCGATGGATTTAAAATTTTGGAAGAACCTGCTCCAGTTGTGAGGAGTTTGAATCCTCTTTCTCCACTTCCAGTAGAAGACACCCCCGAAGTTAAAGCTGCCAGAGAAGAATTTTTGGCTGCTTATAAAATTGCTGAAGCTAGAGTCCTAGCTTCAGTCGCCTAAATTATTGCTGTTTCCTTTGAATGATTGTAGTATATGGAAATAAAGCTGTAGGTGCCTTGCATTTTGAAATAGTTTTTTTATTTTAAGTGACATTACTAACAATATACATATATGTAGATTGCCTCTGAAGAATGTATGTGAATACTTCTCTCAAAAAAAAACATAAGATTTTTTTTTACATCAATACTTATATCGATCACGTGACACAAATATGCAGAAATTCGTCACAAACTTAGAGAAATACCTAGGATCATTTAAAAACCATGACAGACATTACGCCTTTGGAGATATGAATTTGGATATTTTGAATCCAGATTTATATGGTGATTTATACCTCAACAATTTCTACGAGAAAAAAAAGATCCCATTAATATCTTCCATTATGAGGCCAACTAGTGACGGTGATTCCTGCATTGATCACATTTTTGGGAACAAATACGAAAATGTTAAGTCAGTTCTTTCAAAAGAAATGATTACTGACCATTGCCCAACCCTTCTACTGTTAAAGGATTCATGTGATGGTGCCATTGAGAAAAACTGTGATTTTGTTGATTTTCGAATATTAATAACTCTCACGGTATGTGGATGATATTTTTAAAATTTGGAAGGGAGGTAAGAGCTTGTTGCCACAATTTTTAAATTGTATCAATAGTTTACCTACCTAACTCAATAAAATTTACTTTAGAATCACAAAATGAACAACAAAACTCAACTTTTTAGATCTGACCTCAACTTTAACACAAAACAGTTTGAGTTTCCAAGTTTATAGAAAACCCACCCATACTGGAACAGTCATTCTTAAAATATCGCAACACCCAATACGACACAAACTAGCTGCATTTCATAGTAACATTAATAGATTAATTTCATTACCACCCAACTAATACAATTTTCAAAAAGAACTTGCTGTCATTGGTCAAATTGCAGTAAAAAATGGTTACTCAACAGAATTAATTCATAAACTTTTACATAAGAAACAACAACTCAAATTGCAATATTTTATTTATACTAATCAATATTTACATAATTCTGAAACTAAACCTTATACAGTGTGTCCCGCTTAAGGAGTGACCACCCTTCTAAAATGTTTATTTTTTAACCGATACAATAAATTTTTTTTGTCTTATATCTACTCGAATTTGGCACTTATGAGGAGCAAGATTTTATATCTGCGGCTGTACTGGTGTACAGGGTGTCCACATTTATAGGCTCAAATTTCAATAAGTAAATTTAATGGACCAAACCAGAAAAATGTCATATTTTGAGGCCTCGAGAACAACAAAACTTGATACAACATAGTTTTAGAACATCTTCAACCAAAACTTGTAGTAAGCTTGTCTCAAAATATAACATTTTTGCGGTTTGATTCATTAAATGGTGAAAATTTGTTGTTATCACCCTGTATCGTATTGAAACAAAAATTAATACATTTGGTTTTCAGATCATTCTAAACAAGAATCTGCTATCAGATTTTTTCTAAAAAAATCCCTGATAGTACCTACTTATTGAAATTTGAGCCTATAAATGTGGTCACCCTATAGAAATGAAATTAGGAGCCTAATAAGTGCCAGATTCGAGTAGATATAAGACAAAAAAAAATTAGATTCTTTTAAATCTTCTGATTCGTTGAGTAATTTGATTATTAATAATAAAGATCCTATAGACAAAATGGAAAGATGTGGAGTGTATCGGTTGAGTTGTGAAACATGTTCTGCGAGGTATATTGGTAGAACTTATAGAAGTTTTGAAGTAAGAACAAGAGAACATTCAAGAGACTTTAATTCTAATAATATTACACAATTTTCTAAACACCTACTAGATTGTGATCCTTACAATTATTTTAAAGTATTACATTTCGCCAATAAGGGACACTACCTAAATAATTCAAAACTTATGGAGATTCATACATCGTTTAAAGATAACAACATGTTAACACTCAACTCACAATTGAATTTGGATTATTCTCCAATTTTTACAACCCTCGTATAGAATATAATAAGAACAACAGAATGACTACGATACTACACAAGCCTTCTCTAGTTTTAGTACATTTTCAATAAAATTTTACCTGTCTGATAAATTGGAAGAATTCTACAATTTTTGTCTATTTACTGCTTCTACGCTATCTTAAATAATTAATAGTGGGTACTCTAATATACGTCAGCAGAAGAGATATGTACGTATATAAAAATTGCATAGTCTGTTAAAAATTGAAAATTGAACAACATTAGAATAACTACTGACGATTTGGGACTTTTTATCACGTATTTTAATTAATTTTGATGTTTCGTGTTTTCCTTGTGTTTGTCCTGAAGCCTTTGTATGCAAGTATATTTGTATGAAATAATTCTAGAATGTTTTGATTACTTTTTCAATTATTTTTGTGTTAAGTACAACATTGTTAATTTCAAGTTGGTATGATTTTTATTGTAGCCTTAGGGATTAGGCGGCCTGATGATGGGGTGTAACTTATTGACCCCGAAACTAGTAGCCAAATACATGAGAATTGTGAGAATACATCAATTCGTTTTTCATTTATTTCAAGATGAACTCACATTTATCTACAATTCAACGTTTGAATAATGCAAGTCTAGCAGAGATAACCTACAGGTTTAAGGAACTTACAATAAGAAAATGTAACAAGATACCAAGATTTTCTTCAACAACAGATGTCTCCAACTAGAAGTCGTACTACCTAAGTATATTTCAGTAAAAATCAATAAGAAAAACATTCCCTTTGGTTCACAATAAATTTTGCAAAAGTTAAAAAAGTCATTAATTAGAGATGAAATTGGGAAATCTTATCAAGCCATTTATTTTATAGACTGTCAGTTAAAGATTATGTACAATAGGTTAACACAACTTGGTATTTTTGAATTTGTTAATCAATTTTTAACGGATGTAAGGCCATCACGGAATATCTAAAGTCTAAGAAACATACAGGGTGTTTTTCAAAACCCGCTCACCCCTATAACTTTTTTATTTTTCCAGATAAACAAATGAAATTTGGTGTGTTTATTTATGACCCGGATGTGCATTATTTGACGTATTTAATTTTTTACTATCACTTCTGGTTTGACCGGAAGTGACCCTAACTTTCTTACTTTAAATGAGACACTAGGTATATTTTTCCTCATTTTAATAGAAAACTATATTACGAGTACAATGACACCTCATTTGTCACTTTTTGACATTTCATCACCAAATTATTTAAATTTTTACTTTTAAATCTAGAGCACCATGAATAAGTCAAAATGCTTAATTTTGCCAGTGGCGGCCAGTGGCAACCTAGTGTGGTTGAGCGCTCTTGGAAAATTTTTTGGAGGTGCCACGTCCTGTTTTACATTTATTTTGTGTGTTGATTTTTTTTCTTTTTACTTTAGGAAAAATTATCGAGAACAAAAATATATGTATTTAAATGAGGCTTGAATGTTTGTATTCTAGCCATAATACATAATTGATATTGAAATTTATAATTAAAAAAAAAAAAACCGCGAATAACAGAGTTGTCAAACTGCCAAAATGGTGAAAAAACATCGAAATATTCTCGATTGAGTGGAAACAACATTGGAAGTGTGTATTTAAATAGCGCACGGCGCATCCCTTTCATCGGGCGACTTACCGTATATTCCCGATCAATCGCACAGCGAGAAAACACATCTACCCAGAGCGCCGAACGATTCCACACCGACCACCCGGACCACCAGCACAACCAAGCGGGAGAAAAAAATATACAAGACAGGCGCAGGGCGCGCTTTCGTTCCGTTCGTGCGAATTTAAAAATAGAAAAATGAGTAGATATTTATCCTAATTTAGAAAATTGGGTAGGTATTTTTTAATTGAAGTTTCTTTTCTTTCCAAAATTTTAATTTTATTTTCTTGCTTGGTTTTTGGAGGCAGTGCGCGCGCACGAGCGCACTTATTGAGAAGCCGCCCCTGAATTTTACTCCTAGGAACATGGGAAAATTTGTTTGTGGATCTTATTTTGTATTTTATATCCTCTACAGACTCATTTAAAGATAGTAGAAGCGCATTTTTAGAATTATATCAGTTTTTTCAAATGGAAAGGTTATGGCTCATGAGCATGTTCCAAAAGAGCGTTTTCTTACGAGCAATTCAGTACCACACAATCGCCAGTTCAACACTCAAATTAAGAATTTTTCTAACATTCTAAATATTTTTGGAAAATTTTAGTTCAATATTTGAATAAACTAGCGATTGTGTGGTACTGAATTGTTTGTTAGAAAATGCTCTCTCGAAATATGCTAATGAGCCATACCCTTTCCATTTGAAAAAATTGATATAATTCCAAAAATGCGCTGCTACTAACTTTAAATGTGCCTTTAGAGGATATAAAATTCAAAATAAGCTCAAAACAAATTTTCCCATGTTCCTTGGAGCAAAATTAAGCATTTTAACTTATTCATGGCGCTCTAGATTAAAAAGTAAAAATTTAAATAATTTGGAGGTGAAATGTCAAAAAGTGACAAATGAGGTGTCATTGTACTCGTAATGTAGTTTTCTATTGAAATGAGGAAAAATTTACCTGGCGTCTCATTTAAAATAAGGAAGTTAGGGTCACACTTTGAATACGTCAAATAATGCACATCCGAGTCATAAATAAACACACCAGAAAAAATAAAAAAGTTATAGGGGTGAGTGGGTTTTGATAAACACCCGGTATATCACTCAATAAGTAAATTCAAAATTTATTAATAGAAAAAGACCTAACGGCTCACCAAGGAGATACCCAGACAATTACAGAATCGTATCACAATTTTTATGAACCCTTGGTAAATTATTCAGACACAAATTTCACACAAAAAGAGATAAATCTTTCAAGTGCGGGCCTAAAATTTAGCCCAGACCAGATACAAAAGATACAGGTTTCAAAAACTTCAATTTAGTCAGTGTAGAATCAGAAGCTATTCTATACATTCAATAGATATCAACAATGATGAAAAGAACAACATTAGGGACAACATCAAAACCATTTTCAG